TCGGTCTACCGTGTAAACGTTGGGCGAGTTTTAGTATAAATTCTCTTACTCTTTTGCCAATTTTGTTGATGCCGTGGTGTCATATGCCTGATCTCTGGCACTTCTTTTTCCTATCATATAATATCTGTAAACAGGTGTTTCGAAGATAGCAACTTTTAGACGGCAATCAAGAGTACTAACTGTTCGGTAGCCATGGTTTATTACAATAGTAACAAACATGCGAGAGAAATGTGAATGTGAAATGCACATGTGAAGGGAAGAGGAAGTGTTCGCATTCACATTGCTCTCGCATATTTGTTACTACAGTAAAGCCGGATATAAGCGACCTCTGGTTTTAGAGACCGCCTGCTTATGACGACCGCTTTTCCATGCACCGACAGTTCTACACAGAAACTGCATCGGATACAACGACCAACTGCCTTGCACGACCAGCGACCAACTTTTACTGTACCAAATGCCATATTGGACCTGCACACAGCGACCAAAACTAGCCAAAAGTGCCATCTTGGCTGGCAGGGCTGACTGCAACAGGGTTGATGTGCGTTCTGAACGACTGAAGCAAGTGCATGCAGTCAACAAAATTGACAAGTGACAGTGCAGGATGCGCTGCATGCACTTGAGTGAGGTGCACTAGGCTCGCATGAAAATATTCTATGCTCCACACCTGTCAATATGAGTACTTCCTCCGTATACAAAAACTTCGTGACTTTTTTGAACGGTGTTTTTGAGCAAGAACCTGCTCAACGAACTGCGCCAAAGGCTGTCATCGACTACCCACATTCATGCCGAAGAAAGTTTGGTTGATCTCGAACAGATTCTCCACGGAAGCCATGCGTATGAGGACGTTGCCGACAGAAACTCGAGAGTGAAATGAAAAAAAATAACACTTACTTGCTCGAAACTGACACAGTGACGAAGTGGAGCTCGCGGCTGGAACACGGAGTCACGCGGCAGCCGCTGCCCTGAAGCTGGCCAGGCTCGTATTGCGGTGCGCGGCCCCATACGCAGCGTGAGAACATAAATCAGTTCCGCTCGCACTGCAAGATGAAACATTTCAGTCGTCGTGCAACCAGCGCAGACTCCGGGTCAGAATGTTGACGGCCTGGCTTTCTTCGCCTCTCTCCAGTCAGACGTCTCCTTTGTCTCCAAGGGAAATCGCAGGGACCTCCTCAAAGCCGTTGTAGAATATTGGGAGGATTATCCTGGCGAGAACATGCGAAGTGTGTGGATGTGTATGTACGACTCAATTCACGGCAAAATGGAGGTCGCGGGTTGGAACTACTGAATATAGTCGACACCGATTTGTACACAGCTCTGGAGATGAAGAGGACGTAGCCAAAGTCCAGCGTCGAATCATCACTGCAGCTGAGAAGAATCTGAATGAAATGGGAGCGGAAGCAGCGACTGTTGGCGATGCGGAGTCAGCATCGTCAGGTGCCAATGACACAAGCGACAAAGACTACGAAAAAACTCAATCTCATTCGTCTGAGTTGCTTTTGTCTTTGTATATAGCCTATAAACAGGTTAAACAATGCCACGAGTGTTATTCCAAGTCAAACGGCACCATTCCAGAGCTGTGCGCAGCTTTCAAAAAAAGTCACGAAGTTTTTGTATACGGAGGAAGTACATGGAAGTACAATTATGCACATCTACGTGCAGGATCTGATATGCCATGAATGTACGGGACGTGGTTCTAAACACCACCTGGCTTTAACGACTGCTTTTGTCTGTACCACCACCTGGTCACTTAAACCAGATTTTTACTGTATTGTTATAAAGCATAGTTACCGCGCAGTGACAGTCCATTCACTATAAGTGTGCACTCTTTTCCAGTCAAAGGGCCAATATAAGTGTGCACTCTTTTCCAGTCAAAGGGCCAATAAAAGTGTGCACTCTTTTCCAGTCAAAGGGCCAATAAAAGTGTGCACTCTTTTCCAGTCAAAGGGCCAATATAAGTGTGCACTCTTTTCCAGTCAAAGGGCCAATAAAAGTGTGCACTCTTTTCCAGTCAAAGGGCCAATAAAAGTGTGCACTCTTTTCCAGTCAAAGGGCCAATAAAAGTGTGCACTCTTTTCCAGTCAAAGGGCCAATAAAAGTGTGCACTCTTTTCCAGTCAAAGGGCCAATATAAGTGTGCACTCTTTTCCAGTCAAAGGGCCAATAAAAGTGTGCACTCTTTTCCAGTCAAAGGGCCAATAAAAGTGTGCACTCTTTTCCAGTCAAAGGGCCAATAAAAGTGTGCACTCTTTTCCAGTCAAAGGGCCAATAAAAGTGTGCACTCTTTTCCATCCAGTCAAAGGGCCATTGTGTATGCCCCATGGATTCTACATGTAGGCCAGCGCCAGCCTGACAGTGGAATACCCCACGTGGATGCGTTGAGATGATCAATAAGGTGCATGACTTCTTAAAAGACAAAGCAGCGGTTCATGCAAATGCACGGAAATCAGCCAGCAAAGCAAGCTAAAAAAATCAATTTTCCATTTTCTCTCTCAAATTTGGACAGATTTTGATCCGGTTTTTTTTTAAAGGAGCCGCAAGCAAGCGTGCATTCACTTAGAAAAAATTGCCTTGTATTTGTACACAGTGGTATGATGGGAGCATGTAATAACAGTGCACACTTATAGTGAATGGACTGTAGTACACTTGATTGCCGTATAAATATCTGATTCCGAGTTAAGGACATTTCCAACTCATGGGCAGTGCCCAGTCCCCGACCGCCTGGATGAGGGAGCTCTAAATGTGCAATGAAATTGCAGTACCTCAGAAGCCTTTAGCCTATAATGTAGGGTTGTGGACGCAGCACTTTATGCAAACGCACAGAGATAAAAAATGATGTGGAGATTTCAATGCAGCGTCATGCATGTACCAAGTAGAGAGGAATGGTGATGAGGAGGTGAGAAACAATTGCTTAAAGTCCGTGTATCGTTCTTTATATATACTGAAGTTTCAGTCTACATTTGGCGATAGATTGATGACAATGTATGCATGAATAGTTTGAATGCATTAGCGTTGCATGCCGCTTCTTAACTTTTCGGATCCTAACCCAAAATGCTCAAGCTGTGGGTGCTAGTCGGGAGTCATAGCAACCACGAACCGTACACCACACCACATGGGCAGCCTTGGAGCAAAGCATTGCCTCGCGTTCATGTGATCTTCCGGACTATGATTGTATAGTTCTTGGGGGGCTTGGATTGGAATGACTTCTGCTGTATTTGCGATTGACCTTGACCATTTCTTATTAACAGTTTGCAGAGGGATTTGGACTAGCCCTGCTCGCAGAGGACGTCAATAATGATAGGTAAGGGAAAGATAACCAAAGTGTTCTAGTCTTGCTGCTCACCATTGCGTGACTGACAGCAGATGACGAGATGTACACTGAAATGGTCTCTGGCACATGGATTGCATAATAATCAACTACATGTACTATGATTATTTTCTTTGGTGTAAAGGGGAAGTTAACCCGTTGTGTACGGACTGTACAACTTTCGATCCCCTAGGATCGAAACTTTTAAAATTTCAATCGACCGTAACTCAGTCATTCCTGTTATTTCCAAAAGGTAAAATAGGTAGGTCGAAGAGAAACCTCCCAGCTGTCCACTGAAACAATTGCTGAAGCGCTCCGATATGCGGTTCCAGAGTTACGAAGCTCGAAAGTCGACTCGCGGCGAATGTCGCTCAATAGCCGCTTGCGCAGATTTGAATGAGGGATTTCCCCATCATTCTGGGCATGCAGCGATGTAGAAACACGTTTAAAATGGTCAACGGACTCGTGGCAGTTTGTGAATTTTTTGATGTAACAGCTAGTTGTTACGAGCAAGGAGAGCCAAATAACTGATACAAGACGACTTCTGTCGGAATATTGGCGTTGCAACTAATACGCTGGGCTGAAGCACTGGCGTTTTAACCTTCATGGTGGCAAGCATGGGCTCAATGTGTTCCTCTTGCGACGAGCTTTCCAAGAAGCCCAATATTGAAAATATCGTCAAAAGGAGACTAAAGTTATGACCCGGAGAATTATGGAATTCGAGTTGAATCGAGATCAAATTCAGGCTATGTACATTTTTTCCGTACATAAAGGGTTAATTAAGGCAAAAATCAAAATTTCACCAGTTGTAGTCTTCGGGGTGCTGAGTCGAATGGTCTTGGTCCGAGAAAGCTGAGACGCTCCCTTCCTACTTGAATCCCAATCGAACTCGCGCACTTCCACCGAAACTGGGTGACTGCGCCCTACTAGATGGCGATTTGTATGCAAAATGTCACTTATCACTCCCCCTCACGTGACCGCGGACTCCTGCATATACACTCACACAATAACCACACAACTGTTTGGGGATAGCGCGCTTATTGTATTATGCCAAACTTGACACGCTGAGTCCAGCTTGACTCAGCTGAGTCCCTAAGTGCAATTTACTGCTCTAACATGAAGCCGTGCCTGGAAGAAGGGAACGAGCGAAAAAGAAAAAAAATTCTGGCCTTCTGCAAGCAATAGCAAGTAATGAGTGCCGGCTGTGTAAAGTCGCACAACCATGCAGTCGACCGGATGATGGTGAGTGTCCGGCACACATCTTGCTCTGCTGCTCCACCTGCGCATACCTGATACGGTGGTGCGCTTACGGGCGGGCTGCCTGGGTCCCAGATATAGATGCCTCCCTGATGCGCCACGGGGTGCCGTCGAAGCACCTGTATCACTTCGGTGATCCAAATGCGAATGCAGCCTTGCCGGTCGCCCGCCGGCCTGCCGCCTACGCGACCAGCCTGAGACTGGCCCTGCCGCATTTGGCGCTTCTAAACGCTGTGATCCGGTAGACAGCTCACTGGGCTGCCAAATATGTGACTGGCTTGAGGACAGTTCCATACTGCACGGCAGGGCGCCCAGCTCAGGTCGCACGCCGTAGCGGCGCGAGCTGGGCGCGGTGAGGGTTGGTGATAACTACAGTTTCCTCCTTCCTCCTCCGGAAACTTCCATTAAAAGCGCCATTTCGTTCTTATAAAAGCACGAATGACCGCGATTGGCCCATATGTTGTAGTCTTTTGGACGCTGCATGGCCAGCAATTGAGGACATCTGAGAGTTGTAATTTTTGTACTCCTCCGAGGTGTGATTTTTGGCGTGCTGGGCCAAGCACAAGGAAGCCATCTGCAAAAAAACTGCAGAAAATGGTTGTTGTTTGATCCTTTGGTGTAATCTTTGTTTCTAGTCGAAGGTAGTTGCTGTTTGGAGCAGAAACGCTGAAATTGACTATTTTCTGCATGTACTCATACATGTACTCATGTACTCAGGCATGCAGTCTCACTCGTATTTTAGCTCTTTTTCTGGAATGGATGCTGCTCTGCGCCCCTTGGTGAACATTTCCTGCGCTCGTGGAGCAGCTGAAAAGGACCACTGGTATGTCTGGTTCCTGGTTTGAAAGTGGAGAGTCGACTTTTGTGCCTTGAAAAAGGAGTAGAGAGCGATAAAGGTACGTCTGTGGCTTATTTTTGAGTGCTCCTCGTACATTTTTGATCGTGATAGAAATTCTCAGACCAAAGTCAGACCAAAGTCAGACCAAAGTCAGCGCGATGATGGCCGTACAGTTTTCTTGTGGATTTTTTAGTTGTTTCATCTCGTATCTATGTCAGTATCGTGATGGTGAAGTGGAGAGGGTGATTTTCTTCCTCTAGGCTGCGTTCGGCCGACTTTGCTTCGTCCTCGTTGAAAAGTGATCTTGAAAAAAAGGTCGATTCGCAAAATTATGTTGATTTTCAATGTACGTGATGACATGCGATTGCTGGCAATGCGACTGGTTTTGGTCCGAAAAGGCTGCGATGCAGCGTTCCTCCTTTATTCCCAATCGAACATGGTTGAACAAGCGGTCACATGCTCCTGCGTACACCAGTCACCTGGTCACCGTGTCTGCAGGGTACAACTTACTAGCCTGTTTGACCTTTTTTGGGTACAGTCCTGTCACTCGAGTTAAACTCGAGTTGAACCTTGGTGTGAAAGTTGTCGCCTGCTGGCGTGGTGACCAGGTGATTTGGGCACACAGGAGCACGTGACCGCTTGTTCAACCATGTTCGATTGGGAATAAGGGCCGAACGCTGCACCCCGAAGACTACAACTGGTGAAATTGAAGGCGCCTCAATACTTTTTTTTTTATCTTGAGAAGTGAATGATGTAAAGGATTAAAGGGAGGGGCCGTTTTCTGGTTAATATTCACTGCTTACAGCAGATCCTATGTCTATTTTCGAAGTCTGGATAGGGGATGCCTAATTGGCTGGACTTTATACAGGAAGTGTTGTCCACATAAAGACTCTTCATAGTTGATTTCAATACAATATTGACTGTCGCCACCAGGAACGGAGATAAAGTGACTTTGGTGGTTTGTCATGGTGGCTGCGCCTGCTGCTGCACCTTATGCTTTATGCCGACTTGCTGACACTTAACCCTTTGGTGCCTGACTGAATTTTAGATTTTTCGTAGTTTTGGCTCAATTTTTTGGAAAGCCTATATCTCCGCACCCGTTTAGATAATGTAGCGACAAAAGTATGTATTCTGGATGGCAAGACACAGAAAAATCCGATTTTTGAATTTTCAAGTCAGAAAAATCTACAATAGGGTCAGGGTACTGCGCTGGTCCAAGAACATCTTGGTCGCCAACACCACTCAGCACGCCGAATCCACTATCTCGTCCACGGCCTCCGCCACACGCGCCACGCACGCCACGATCAGCTGTTCCATCAGCTGGCTGAGCTCAACCAGCACCGCGAGCAATTCCTCCGCGCAGCGCGAGCGGAGCACGTCCACGAACTGGCTGCGCTTGCCCTCGCCCTACAGCTTCTTGAAGCTCATCGTCGGAAATTTTGTCCTCATCTGAAGAGCTGCCATTCTCAACAAATTCAATGAAAACCAAATCATCGTTGAGTCAGTCTTCCTCATCTGATGACGGCCGGTTTCGGTCAGAGAAAAGAGCGTCAGATTATTCACCATCGGCGTCTTCTGATTCTTCTTCTACAGGGGCATCATCGGCCTCTAGCTCTTCAAACAACTCCAGCGCTCCTGCAGCATCCATGACGGAGGTCAGCTGTAGTAGCCATGAACTGTACTAGTCGAAAACGAAGCGAAACAGCAACGTTTTGTTCGTGTTGCGGGACGCGTGCGTAGGCTGCCACGCTCGATTGACTTCCGCTGATCTGCGCGATCGTCGTTGATCACGACTCGACTTTTTCAAATGCAACCCCCCTTCTTTCTCTATTGCTATCTACAGGCCAGCTACTGAAGGGTCTCTATACAAAAAATCAGGCACCTGCGATGTACGTGACTGGCTCTGTGCTCGATTTTAGTATGCACTGTCAGCATAGGTCGAAATCGACCTACCGGCACCTAAGGGTTAACTGACCCTTCATTGTTGTGTGGAGCGCACAAGAAGAATACTGTATGCTCTCCTAGGCAAACCTGCAAGAAAGCCCCACCTACCGTAAAGTCTTGAATAAAGGCCGCATTTGAATAGAAGCCGCCCTCGAATAGAAGCCGCAATTTTGGGCCCATCAAATCACACATAAGCCTGGTTTTAGTGTTGACATACATAGAAATATCTGTCTTGTATAGAAGCCTGCAAAATTTCAGAAAGAAAGTCATAGAAGCCGCGGCTTTATACAAGACTTTACGGTACTCATGCTCCGCATGCAGTGTATCACCACCAGAAATCAGGAATACTATGGAATTAACCCTTTCCGTGCTGACCCCTTTTACTCCAGCAAACTGCCTTTCCAGCGCACTGACTCTCCTGGTGTCGTTTTCGCGCAAAGGTCAGAACGAATTTTTCTCTCAATTCAGTTCAGCCGATTTTCACGATTCAAACTGCGCTGCCTGAAAGCTGAGATTCACGTGCTTCCGCTGGTGTCCATTACGCATGCGCTGCGCCAAAGGGAAATCCCCTGGCACGCAACAAAAAACTGCGTGAACAAAAAAATCACGATCGCTCAGTGCCGTGAATTCCGTGTTCACACCGTCGCCGCTCCGTCAATCTTTCACCTATCGCAAAGAACTTTATATTGCTAGAAAGCTGAGCTCAATACCTTTCCAACAGCGTATCGATTGTAGCGATAGACTTATTTTTGACGGAGTTACGAAAGTTTGTACACTCATCTATGCGCTGTGATGTACTGCGCAAATCTCATGACGTCTATAGACGTCATTAGTCGTTTGGCGTACAGCGCGCATGACGTCTATAGACGTCATTAGCACGGAAAGGGTTGAGTATGCCCGGTGATTGCGAAAGCATAAAACTTCAAGTAGCAACTAGGGGTGAAAGTTGGCACTGAGATCCCAAGTTCGTGTACTCTGATTTTCTCCGATCGAATATTCGAGTATTCGAGTATTCTTGATATCCTAAAAATCGCACACCAAGGGCCTTAAAAATCACATGGTACAACTTAAAAATCACCTGGTACAACCCTGATTGAACCAATAGGGCTTGAAAGTGCTACGTCACAGCATAGCAACAATTTCATAAATTCAAAAACTGGATCCACTTGGATCCAGTTTTTGTATGGATCCAAGCACATTTCAAGCGGTCTTACCCACAGCATGGTGATGTAGCCAGTGAAACTGACTGATTTGGCTACTGGGGGCGGGGTTACAACTGGTGGCGAAATAAAAGTCACACCTGCATGCGACATGAGTGGGTTGCTATGCACCCACATACTTAGGCAATAGCAAAGTCACACCTTAGTGGATCCAAAAATAGAAATCTGATGTCAACTTACTACTCCCTGGCCGTTTTGACGTCATCACTTTCAAGCCCTATTGGCAGTCCTTTTCTCAGATGTATTGGTTGGTGGGTCATTTGGGCTCTCTCTACTCATGTACAAATGCTCACCACACACTCTGCACATTAATATCTGCTGACTGCTGCTCTGAAACTGCAGACTTCTGTGGGTAAATGCATGTGCCATGTATGAGCGAATACTCTGATTTATTCCGAGTACGATTATAGTTGAAAAATTCAAACGAGTATTCGAATATTCGGAATATTTGTTTCACCCCTAGTAGCAACAAACAAGCCTTGATGCCCTTGTTGTTCTGTACTATGGAATTGCAAATAATAATTATAATAATAATAAGAAGAAGAAAGGGTTTGCTCCCCACACCGGAGCTCGCGCTATTCCGCCGACTTTATTTGGGGAGCAAACCCTTTCTTACAAATCATCGCCGAAGTCGCAACCACTACTTCGTAATAATAATAATAATAATAATAGTGGGAAATCAGTCATAGGGAAACCACCATCGCTCGTGCTCTTTTCGCCGCAGGATTCTCATAGACTAGTGGTTCTAGTGTCGTCGCCATAATTTGCGCTTCAGAGTAGGAGTTTGCACGTTCTAGAAGGATACATGAGAGGAGGTTTGCTACTACAAGACGTGTCAAAGTTTGAACTCATGTGACTAGGTAGCCATGCCATACCAAACACGGACAGTGCATTATCCAGTGTCCCAAATCACCTACAGCAGTAACTACGGCAGCAACTTTGGCAGGACAGTGCATTACAGTGCAGTGCAGTGCAGAAATGCACCATGTATCTGTGTAGCTCCAGAAGAGTGCATTCACCTCCTCCCTTGCTGTGTCCCAACACCAGGACTAGGATAATGGCACGCCAACAACTAATAAAAAGAGTGCATAACCATACGAGTGCATACCCCCCCCCCCCCCCCCCAAAGTGTGCACTCTAGTCTTTGGGGGTCAGGGATGGTAGAACTTCACATTACGTGGCAAGCACATATTATGAATCATTTTCACTCTGCACACGACAGCTACAGGGTTATAAATAATACAACCCTACGTTGGGTGCAACCCTCTGTTGGTTCCGTTGCATTGTTTAGGCCGTCATCACGCTACGTTCTCCGACTCTCGTTCACGTCTACGTCTACGGTGAAAAAACCAAAACGGGTGGTAGTGTCATCAGACAGGCACAGGTCTTGACGCGTACACGCAGTCACGTTTTTGGAGAAATTTGAACGCACGTACATCGAAGTACCGGAAAAAGGCTGGGGAGATACGCATGTTCATACAAAAAGTTGTATACCCCCCCCCCCCCCTGTCCCTACCACGTCCACGTTTCCCGTTTCCTCTGGTCCCGTTTTCACCCCGTATAACGATCATCATAACAACCGACCAAATACTCCTTACGTGGACGTAGATGCAGCGCTTTGTACCGTGGTGTGATGACAGCCTTACCAGCATAACTAGTTAAACAATATCACATGGAGTTAAGCTCTGCCGTCGCAGCAAGAAACGGAGGTTGGGCAAGGCCGTTCTTGACATTGCTGAAGCCAAACGACAAGGAGTTGAAAATCCGACATCGTTCTCTTACAAGTACACAAAATTGGGACATTTACACTGTGGCAGGACATGGGACAAGGATGCGCAGAACCAAAACCGGCTTTGAGCCACAACAGGCCCAAGCCTGTATTTTCGGGAGAATTTGTGAATAGCATGCACTTCTCTCTATAGTACTCTGTTAGTTTCCTTCGTATCAAAAAATATGATGTTATTCCAACTGATGACAATCACGAGAAAAACGTTCTTTGAACTTATTAACCACCAGCTTTGCTGCAACGTGTGTATAGATTGAGTGCGCAGTTGATCCTTATTATCGCTGTAATGGAATGCATTCTCTCTTATATTTCACCTGAGCAGGATTTCGGAGCTATATGTCGGAGCCCCGTACTACATGGATCACAGTCGAGCCGGCGAAGTCAACTCCTACGACTTTGGAAGGGTCTATGTGTATGCTGATAAACTGAAGACGGTGAGGCCATACACTTGTCACCAGTTCCCTTTCGGAATACCCTCAATTGAGAAATTCTCAGAATTTTCACCTATTCCTAAGTCTGAAAATCTGACAAATGAAAAGTCAGAAGGAAAACTGGGACTCGAACCAGCGACCTTTGCTACAAGCAGGAATTGTGGAACGTCGGTCTATTATCATTTTTACCGAATGATTTTTGGAAGGATTTTTGGAAGAATTTGTAGCCAAGAGACCGTTTTTGAGTAGTGGTGTATACCTGTGTGAAACACGAACTGTGGCTACAGTGGAGTCTGCACACCCTTAGGAAGGATTTGATCCAAGCGTATCAACTAAACTTGGCACATGCATAATTTATCGTAGGCATGAATGTCGGCACAGGCAGCAATCTGCAGCCAGAAGAAAAACTGTCAACTCCCCAAGCTTTAAAAATTTGCTGCAGCTGATGAATTCCCGATGTTAAAATGGCATTCTGTTCTTTCAACCCACTGAGCGTATCCTCTGTGAAAGTCACCGTGTGAAACCGCAAGCAGCGCATGCATCAAGCTGAGGCCTTACTGCAAAATCACACCTGTTCAAATGGTGACTCCAAATTCTTAAGAAGGTAGAAATCTTCTGAAGTTTAATGGATTGGTACTCTAGTGAGATTAGTAATTCTGTCCAAAATCTCTTTCTTGCGCAATTTTTTGTGTTGCACAGTTCCTCAAAGCTCATCCTATACAGGGGAATCCCTTCTATCTCGATAGGAATATTTCAAATTTCCTGCGGGAGTACGACCTTGCGCTAGTGGGGAGGCCAGCTTCACGCTTCGGTAGCACCTTGGCCGGTATCGGAGATGTCGATCGCGACGGCTATTCTGGTAAGTGACAGATTTTCCTCTTCAGTCAATGGTTATCGAGAATTATTCAAACAACTCTGCCCACGCAGGGCTATGGTTTGAGGAAATTTCTAGTGGTTATGGGAGTACTTGCTATCCCTCCCTCCTCTCTCCATCCACGCACGTGTAGAGTAAAAGCTGGTGTAAGCGACCTCTGTGTTTAGCGACCTCTGTGTTTAGCGACCTCTGTGTTTAGCGACCTCTGTGTTTAGCGACCTCTGTGTTTAGCGACCTCTGTGTTTAGCGACCTCTGTGTTTAGCGACCTCTGTGTTTAGCACCCACCTTCTTTAACCCACCATTTTTCCATTCACGGCAGTTCTACACAGAAACTGCACCGGATACAGCGACCACCTGCCTTGCGTGACCAGCGACCGACTTTTTGTGTACCAAGTGCCATATTGGACCTGCACACAGCGACCAAAACTATCCAATAGTGCCATCTTGGCTGTCAGGTTTGACAGCAACAGGGTTCAAGTGCGCGCTCTGATGCATATGCATGCAGTCAACAGAACTGACAAGGGACGGTGCAGGATGCGCTGCATACACTTGAGTGAGGCGTGCTTTGCTGGAGAAAGTATTATATGCTCCACACCTGTCAATATGAGTACATTGAAGTACAATCATGGACATGTATGGACACAATCCGATATGTCACAAATGTATGGAACCTGGTTTCAAAGACCACGTGGCTTTAACGACCGTTTTTGCTTGCACCGTGGGTGGTCGCTTAAACCAGGTTGTGCTGTACCTCCTCTGTCATCTACCCCCCCCCCCCCCGCCATCTAATCTGCACCCCGCTGCCCCTCTCTCTCTCTCTCTCTCTCTCTCTCTCTCTCTCTCTCTCTCTCTCTCTCTCTCTCTCTCTCTCTCTCTCTCTCTCTCTCTCTCGCTCTCGCTCTCGCTCTCGCTCTCTCTCTCTCTCTCTCTCTCTCTCTCTCTCTCTCTCTCTCTCTCTCTCTCTCTCTGTTATCTATCTACCCCCCCCCCTCTCTCTCTCTCTCTCTCTAATGTGTGTACCCTCTCCCACTCTCTCTCTCTCTCCCATCTATCTACTCCTTCCCCATCTCTCTCTCTCTCTCTCTCTCACTTTCTCTCTCTCTCTCTCTCTCTCTCTCTCTCTCTCTCTCTCTCTCTCATCTATCTAATTCCTCCGGAAATAAAAACTCTCTCGTGACTTTATCACATGACTTTTCAAGGAGTTAATGTGCTCAACAAATGTGTTCCATTGGAAAAGAAACACTTCAACACGCTCAATGGACATGTGTACATTATCTACAAAGGTGATTGATGGGAATAGAGTCTCAGTCTGAGTCGCCATCGCTCGATTCATCACGGCTGGAACCAACCAAAGTGGCAGGTCGTTCGACGAGTTCTCGCATGTCACGGAGCACCTTCTCCCTGTCTCTGATCGCCTTCGCTTGCTACTAGTACGTGATTTACACCACTGCCTTCCCTTGCATCTAGATGGAGACTGCGGTGGCGCTTGAACTCTGGTATCGTATTGGCTCTTGAGAACGATGCGTATAGGCAAAGCCAGATGTTTCACATTTTCTGCGCGTTGTAGGTGTCCCATCACATCACGGCTGCTGTGAGGAGATCTCGCCTGTTCTCCTAAGCAACCAAAGAAACATCAGTGGAGGCTGCTGAAAATGGCAAGATTTCCCACTGAACAACGACTCTTTTTTGAACATTTTAGCTTTGTCGCGCCACGCGAAGTGACGGGTGTCGCATCTTTGAGTTTGGAGTTTTCGGACATCTTGCCAACCTGTTCGCACATCGGCAAGTGTTTTGGTGATGACGCAGATTTCCAAACACTAGCTGCTATCCCTTTCACACTCTTCTTGCTCCTCAGTGCCATTGCCCTGCTCTGTATCATTCTGAACCAAAACTAGCAATGATGAGCAGAGAGCACAGTGCTTTTCTTGGCAAGGTGCCTGGTGGACAGAAATGCAAACATCGTCGCTTCGCTTGGTTTACAGCACGACACATTTGCCTTGCGATGGCTGTCGGCTTTCCAGAATGGGAATCATGCCTTCCTACAGTTCGGAATGTTATCTGTTGGTGTTTCAGGCCGAAAGAGCCACTCCGAGAGCGACAGAACAGCAGCGAAAATTAGTGAAAAAGTCACGAAGTTTTTGTTTCTGGAGGAAGTACCCCATCCCACTCTCTCTCTCTCTCTCTCTCTCTCTCTCTCTCTCTCTCTCTCTCTCTCTCTCTCTCTCTCTCTCTCTCTCTCTCTCTCTCTCTCTCTCTCTCTCTCTCTCTCTCTCTCTCTCGCATCTATCTACCCCTCCCTCCCCCCCCCCCCCCAATCTCTCTCATCTATCTATCCCCCCCCCCTCTCATCTATATACCTCCTCTCACTCTCTCTCTCATCTATCTACCTCTCCCACACTCTCTCTCTCTATCTCATCTATCCCCCTCCCTCTCCCCCCTCCACCCCCCCCCCCCCCATGTCTCCTGTTCCTCACTCACTCTGCCTCGCTCTTCTTACTCTTTTGTTTCTCGTAACCTATCAGATATCGCCATAGCAGCACCAGGTGAGGAAGTCTATGGCAAGCTGGACGTCGGGGCTGTGTATGTGTACTTTGGCTCGGCGTCCGGGCTGCTAACAGACTCTCCCCAGCGTATCGTCCCCTCGTCCAGCAACACACAATCTTTTGGCTCGTCCCTGACCTATGGGTGGGACATTGACTCTAATGGATATGGTGGTAGGTCATCCTGTCATTCTTGCACGTGTTGTGGGTGTTGTGTGCGTGGGGGGGGGGGGGGGAGGGGGTATATATATGTATGTGCGAGCGTGGGTGTGTATGTGTGTACATGTGTGTACATGTGTGTATATGTGTGTGTGTGTATATGTGTGTGTGTGTGCATGTGTGCGTGCGCGTGTGCGCGTGTGCATGTCTCTGCGTGTCCAAGTGTGATGTTATGTACACATATAGTCATGTATGTAGACGGCAGAATGTCACGATGAACGTGTGACAAGCCAGTGTTCACCACAAGCACAGCTATTGTACCATACGGCTGACCATTTTAGGCATGAGTGTACAAGTGCTGCCTGGTAACCTGGAGCATAAGCTCCTGGCTTAGAACATCACTCTGATCCCTCACTTGATCTATTCATAAACTTCACGTGATGTCGACCTCGCCCCATGTACTGAAAACCAATTTCTGCGGAGATTTTCGTTCAGTAAATTTGGTACAGGTATTTTTCATTTGAAATAAAACGCCACCCTGAATTCAACCATACCATGCCATGCCGTGTGCAAAATGCATTTCTGGGTCTTGGGGGGCTAACTGGTTTTCTTTATTTCGCTCTACCGAACTGTTGATTTGGGGGAATACCGCAACGATTACACCACCGAAAATGCCCGGCTATACAGCATGTATTCCTGGATGATGAGCGTATTGCAGGCAACTACATCCTGTTGAAGTGGCTACTGTACTCTGTTAACCTGTAACTAAAGACCACCATGACTAGCGACCAGCCTGGTACTACAGACCGCTTTGCCAGGCACGGACGATCTCACGTTCCTGGTTGTGCGGTGCAAACCTGTAACTAAGGACCACCTGCCACTAAAGACCGCTTTCTCTGGCCCCAAGGGGTGGTCGTTAGTCACAGGTTTTACTGTACAGCGGTGAATCTCCCCTAATCCAAAGCACTGCCAGTAACTACTACTAGTAGGAACTGCCTGTAACGCAGACCATGACCGCTTACTGCATACAAGCAAACATTTTTGTATGCCAATCAAGAGTTTTTGGAAGAAAAGAGGACCAAAAGAGCTACAAGTTACGCTATAATGTCCACTAACACCACCAGTTGCTTTACAATCAGCTCATGCGATAACATTGCACGACACTGGCCAACTCTGTTTGTCCTCTTTTCTTCTTATAAATTAATCCTTGGCTCTCCCCCCAGTCTAATAGTTTTCGTGTTTGTTTTTTTTGTTGAAGAGACAATTTTGTGACTTTAGATGGGTCAGAAAGGTGCCCGGGTAGACGGACATGTTTGGGTTAACTAAGGGTGTCGGGAAACGGGGAGTTTAGTAACTAAAATGTGTGAATGTGCTCTCTATCCACTGGTGTGTCTAGATATTGGTATCGGCGCCTTGGACTCATCAGAGGCCTTCATCTACAGGTACAGATTTGACTGCGTGACCATTCACAATAATTGTTGTCATGTATAAATTTAAATATACGAGAAAGGTTCTAGACTGTTCAAAAGAGTGCTGAGGGAAAAGTGTTTTTTTTGTGGGTATATGTACATGTAAACCAGCATCCGGATTTGCCTCATCATTGTTGTCCGATGATCGCCTAGTGCGTGAAACTCTGAGTCACAACAAATTATTCATCCTCTTCAACCGTTTAAAACTAAATCACAGCTCGTGTGAGGCTCAGTCAGACCAAGTTTTCTCCATCTGCAGGAACGCCACCACCCTCAAGGGTCAAGGCACAGATGTAGCTCCTAAAGGAGGCCTGTCGTTTCAAATTGAACTGCAGCTTGGCATGTCCTGGCGATATCGCTGTGAACGCAGATCTTCGTGATCTTGAACTGATGCTGGAGCATGTAGGCATGTTGCCTCCTGCCCCATATATTATGATTTTGTTTGTAAACTTGGCGCATGTCTCTTCGTGCAAACGCAGTGACCAACTTGTGTGCGTGTGTGTGTGTGTGTGTGTGTGTGTGTGTGTGTGTGTGTGCGTGTGTGTGTGTGTTCAGAACTTCTGCTGTTATTGGTGTAACGTGTATGTGTGTGCGTGTGTGTGCATGTGTTTCCATTCAGATCACGACCTGTCATCTCTGTCGATTTACAGTTGAATGCACCCGCGGCAGTTGACGCAACTAATCGATCCTGCTATGTGTCCGGCATCGGGACGTGGCGTGCTTGGTAAGGGTTTACAACATAATACACAGTACGGAGTGTGGCTTGTGTGCGGGGTACACCTCACACTCTCCAGCACTCTTGGGGACTCTGGCCATTTTCTTATTGTCCCCAACCTCCGCAACAGCAGTCCCTTACACATGAATGAAGCTTCACTCTTCCATTTCAGTAGAGCGGTCTCTGTAGTACGAATCAAATCAGTTTGTGAAACACATTTTCGGGCCTGGCCCGTCATCAGGGCAAGTACACTATTACGACTTCTGCTTGTGTTGTATAAAACAAGCAACACGATGGCCGTAGCAGCATCCCTGAGCACCTCTCTTCCTCCCGTCCGGCTTGCCCATGTCTCCTTCTCAGTGCACAGCATGCTGTAGACCGTGCATCCAAATCGGACGCCCACTCTTTAGTGCCTTGTACTCATACTAAAATGACCTCAAGACTACTAAACAGCATACTGTAAAAGCAGAAATTTTCGGTGGTGTAATATTTTCGGTATTCTCCAAAATAGGCAGTTCGGTGGAGGAGAATTTTCGGTAAAACCCGTTTTCCAGGTAAGTGTACTAGTACTACATGTATACAGTACCGGTAGTACCGAAATTTTCGGTGCGTTTTATTTTCGGTAAAAATTGTCGGCGCTGAAGTTACCGAAAATAAAACACCACCAAAAATTCCTGCTTTAACAGTATACATGTTTGCTGGCCATAACGCGAGTCCCTGGTTTCAGTCCTGGTGGTGACAGTCAATGTTTTCTTCAGACTTTTCCTGCTTACACTTACCGTATTATCTCTAATATAAGTACGGTCCTTTATTTTTTCAATGTACCTCCGCCCCGTGCTATTAATGGAGACGTTCCTTTATTGGAGACTGTTCCATTATTATTTCAACCTCATTTCAGAGGCATGTTGCCATGCCAAATTCATGTATGACACACACATTTCAGGGGGTTTTCGCCGGTACAGA